TTCACACTTCTGATTGTACCCTCTCCCTGAAGATTGCTGAGGGTGTATGCCCAGCAGGAGGGCGATGACTGTGGATAAGGGTATATTCCTGGGTTCCTACCCAATGTCACTGCAGGGTGACACAGGACTACAACTGCAGTAAGTCAGTCTTGCCCTTTCCCAGGAAGCCTGGGTGTTTTAGTGGGCTGTTTACTGTCCTGCTAGGGTGTTAACGTTAAAATGATGGCAGCGACATGTTTAGTCTCAATCTGGTGGCAGGTGGAACACAGCACCATATTAAAGTTCGGTTCCATTTTTTTCCTAACTCACAGGCCGCATCTCTTTTTAAGCTTGTGAAGCCTTTTTGTGTGGATGATTGCACTGCACAGCCATTTTCAGGAGTGCACACAACCCTGCTTCACACACATCCACCCTGATCTCATGTTGTCAGACTTGCCAATATCCCCACAGACCTTTGCGCTGCAGAGCAGCTCTTCTACGAATGGGTCATAGCCATTGTCCTGGAAAAGGAGATGTTTCAAGGTTTCTATTTAAACCTGTTCACTGTCCCCAAAAGCTAAGGGGGTATATTGGATTTAAATATTCTTAACACCTCCCTCCGGGTACAAAAATTTCTAATGTAATCCTCAATTACATCATTGCTCAATCATTGCTTCACTTTATCCAGGAAACCATATGCAGACAAGGATGCCTACTTGCTTGTCCCCATCTTCCCAACACACCCCATATCAACAAGGTGCTAGCCTCCCTGTACTTGTTCTGCTTCACTCTGCTTTCTGTTACTCCTTTCAGAAGTCATCCTTCAAATGGAACCAACACATCCCTTGGCCACGGCCACATTCAGACTCTGCAATCCAGGAGTCCATGAGCTTTTGTTTTTGCATGAGGGTCCTGAACCTAATGGTGTCCTTTCGACGTGGTTCCATATGCCCAATATCACTCCTGACTATTGTAATTTAGCATTCAGGCAGTGTGTGACAAGTTGGCTTGCTCTGGCATGGTGGTTCATATGTTGGGCGCTGTAATCAATGGATAGCCTTCCTCACAGTTGTGCCCAACCTTCTGGCTTTCAAGGTCAAAAACAAACTAAGCAGGTTTTTCTCCAATATATAGTAAGGGTGTGCAAGAGTGAGCACCAATTGGCGAGCTGCTGTATACACCGAAAAGGCACCAAATCAACCTTCTAAGACCAAATATAAAATATAAGGTGCAGCGCTAATAACTAATATAATAAAGTGCCATCATATAAATGCATAAAAAACACATAAAACAAGAACTTATAATATAGTCGTCAATCTTCATGTATCAGAAAGAGTGCCACTACTAATGGTATATTGATATAAAGTGATAAAGTGCAGATAAACATCAATAAAGGTGGTCATAGGTGTAACTACTATAGGTGACAAAGTCTTTATATATCAGATAGACGTGAAGTCTCAGGTGAGGGTGATCTTCTATAGATTCTTCTGGTGATAATAAAAAAATAAAATCACGCACTCACCAGATGCGCAATAATGTTGCGCATTTGAGAACATACAGTTGTGTCCAAAATTATTCAACCCCCACTGAAATTGAGTGTTTTGGCCAGTTTGACATTGCTTTTGATCATTCAGTCATCTTGCTTACATTTACATTAAAGAGGCACTTGTAGGTCAGACAAAAATAAATCATAACAGTTATAATGAAATAACCACAAATGTCTTTTCTCTTGTGCTCACAGCATTATCAGATTTATTCAAACCCCAAGTGACATTCAATCTTAGTGTTTTTTTTTTAGTACAGCATCCATTTTGACAGTTATAACAGCTTTTAAACGTGAAGCATAGCTTGACACAAGTGTCTTGCAGCGATCTACGGGTATCTTCGCCAATTTTTCTTCATGGGCAAAGGCCTCCAGTTTTCAGTCACATTCTTAGGCTTGCGCACTGCAACTGCTTTCTTTAAGTCCCACCAGAGGTTCTCAATCGGTGTTTTTAAAGTCTGGTGACTGCGATGGCCACTGACCCAAAATGTTCCAGCCTTTCCTCTGCAACCATGCTCTAGTGACTTGGAGGTATGCTTGGGATCATTGTCCTGTTGAAAAGGTCCAACGTCTCCCAAGCCTCAGGTGTGTGACGGACTGCATCACGTTTCCATCCAATAACTCCTGGTACTGAAGAGAATTCATTGGTACCTTGCACAACACGCTGAAGCTTTCCTGTACCTGCAGAAGCAAAACAGCCCCCAAAGCAATGATTGACCCCCACCAATGCTTTCACAAGTAGGCATAGGGGGTGTTCTTTTCATCATAGGCCTTGTTCTTGCCTCCTCCAAACATAGCGTTGATCCCATGGGCCCAAACAGTTCTAATTTTTGTTTTCATCAGTCCACAGAACACTATCCCCACAACTTTTTGTGGTTTGAACCACATGGCTTTTGGCATACTGCAGTCGACTCTTCTTATTCTTTGGAACAGCAAGGGGGGTACGCCTGGGAGTTCTGGCACGGAGGCCCATTCATTACGCAGTGTGCGTCTTATTGTCTGGGCTGAAACTTCTGTACCCAAATCTGACAAATCTTTTCTCAGTTCCTCAGCAGTCACACGGGGACTTCTCTCCACTCTACGCTTCAGTAGCGCACAGCAGTCGAAGTCAGCATCTTCTTTCTGCCACTTACCAGGTAGCGTTCAAAAACATGCCCTTTGCCTTGAATTTTGCGAATGATGCTTCCTAAGGTGTCCATTTGGTATGTTTAACATCTTTGCAATCTTCTTTTATAGCCATTGCCCTTCCTGTGAAGAAAGAAATCACCTCTTCTCTTGTCTTCCTGGACCATTCTCTTTGCCTTCACCATGTTTGTAACCACACCAGTAAATGTCTAGAAGGAGCTGAGTATCACAGTCATTTTAAAGCTGCCTAATATGGTGCTTATTATGCTTGATTGCTGCTTCGTGACATCCCACAGTGTTTTCAATACCTGATGGAAAAGCACCTGTATGAACCTCTGTTCTTCAGAGTGGTAGTCTTTTAAGGGTTGAATAATTGTGGCAATGAAGAAACCACATAAAAGAACATTTACTACTGTATTACAAAACAATTGATTGTCATTTTAGTTGCACTCCGGTAGCTTACAACGTCCTTTAGTAGGATTTGATTCTGAATACAATTCCAATGTACACTATAAGTCCCTAGCAAACCCCTTTACAGCATTTGGGGGTTGAATATGCACCCAAACCCCCAACCTAACAACAAATACATAAACAAACCCCCGCACCCACAACAACAAACAACAACACAGAAACAAACCCCAATAGATCCAGGCAGGCTGGGTCAATAACAATCGGCAGGTAGGTACAGGCAGGTAAACAGGCGGAGAGAATGGTCAGGTCACAAGCCAGGGATCAAACAGGAGAAGTCAGCAGAGTCAGGATCAGGCAGGGTCAGCAACACGTCAGCAGGAACAGGAACAGGAATGCCAGGTAACAAGATACAGGGGCCCATGGAAAAACACACACCAAGGCACAGACTGCAGGTCTGGCCATCCCCTTAAATACACCTGCAGTCAGCTTTCAGGTGTTTGGCTGACTGCAGGGTTGAGTCTCTGATTCCTGACAGTACCCCCCCCCCCCCCCCCAAGGTGCGGCCAGATTCCGGACGCTCCAAACAGTCCTAGCTAGGCAAAATGTTTCCACCGCCTGGGTCTGGTAACTGGCGGGATATCAAAGACCGGCACATCGGGCAGGACTCTGGGCAGAGGCGCATCGGGCAGGACCTCCGGGCAGAGGCGCATCGGGCATGACTCCAGGCAGAGGCGCATCGGGCAGGACTCCGGGCAGAGGCACATCGGGCAGGACCCCGGGCAGAGGCACATCGGGCAGGACTCCGGGCAGAGGCACATCGGGCAGGACTCCAGCAGAGGCACATCGGGCTGCACTCCGGGCAGAGGCACATCGGGCTGCACTCCGGGCAGAGGCACATCGGGCAGGACTCCGGGCAGAGGCACATCGGGCTGGACACCGGATCACCAGGCGGAGCAGCAGGCACCAGACCCACCAGGCGGAGCAGCAGGCACCGGGCCACCAGGCGAGGCAGCAGGCACCGGGCCACCAGGGGCGGGGCCAGCAGGCACCGGGCCACCAGGCGGGGCAGCAGGCACCGGCCACCAGGCAGAGCGGCAGGCACCGGGGCACCGGCCCCCAGGCGAGCGGCGGGCACCGGGCCCCCAGGCGGAGCGGCGGGCACCGGGCCCCAGGCGGAGCGGAGGGCACCGGGCCCCAGGCGGTTAGCGGCAGGCCCCCAGGCGGAGCGACGGGCACCGGGCCCCCAGGCGGGGCGGCAGGCACAGGGCCCCCAGGCGGGGCGGCAGGCACCGGCCCCAGGCGGGGCGGCAAGCACCGGGCCATCAGGCAGGACAGCGGGCTCTGAGTCAACTGGCACAATAGCGGGCACCGGGCCATCAGGCACGACAGCGGGCATCAGGTCATTTGGCTTGACAGCGGGCACCGCGTCATCTGGCAAGGCAGTGGGCACCGAGTCACCAGACACGACAGTGGGCTCCGAGTCAACTGGCATGACCGCGGGCACTGGGTCAGACCTTGGATCGTCTGGCTTGAAAGCGGGCATCGGGTCACCAGGCATCAGGTCATTTGGCTCGACAGCGGGCACCGCGTCATCTGGCAAGGCAGTGGGCACCGAGTCACCAGCACGACAGAGGGCTCCAAGTCAACTGGCATGACAGCGGGCACTGGGTCAGACATTGGATCGTCTGGCTCGACAGCGGGCATCGGGTCACCAGGCATCAGTTCACACTTGGCTCGACAGCGGGCACCGCGTCATCTGGCAAGGCAGTGGGCACCAAGTCACCAGGCACGACAGTGGGCTCTGAGTCAATTGGCACGACAGCGGGCACCGGGTCATCAGGTACCGGATCGTCTGGCTCGACAGCAGGCACCGGGTCATCTGGCGCTGGATCGTCTGGCTCGACAGCGGGCATCGGGTCACCAGGCATGACAGCGGGCACTGGGTCATCAGGCATTGGATCGTCTGGCTCGACAGCAGGCATCGGGTCCACCAGGCATCAGGTCACTTGGCTCGACAGCGGGCACCGCGTCATCTGGCAAGGCAGTGGGCACCGAGTCACCAGGCACGACAGTGGGCTCTGAGTCAATTGGCACGACAGCGGGCACCGGGTCATCAGGTACCGGATCGTCTGGCTCGACAGCGGGCATCGGGTCATCAGGCATGACAGCGGGCACTGGGTCATCAGGCATTGGATCGTCTGGCTCGACAGCGGCATCGGGTCACCAGGTATGACAGCGGGCACCGGGTCATCAGGTACCGGATCTTCTGGCTCGACAGCGGGCATCGGGTCACCAGGCATGACAGCGGGCACTGGGTCATCAGGCATTGGATCATCTGGCTGGATCAGTTTCATCAGGCTGGGTACAGACATCAGACTGGGTAGAGACATCAGGCTGAAGTGCGGGTGCTGAGGCACCAGGCTGAACCACGGAAGGCAGGTTCTCAGACAGCAGGCTCACCGGTTTGGATACTGGCAGGATGGTACTGGGTTGGAAAGAATTTTCGCTTTTTTTTCTGGTTTTAAAACTACTGGAGCACTGCAAGTAAACGCAGGTCTGCAAACGAATGGAGCAGCTGAGGACAGAGAAGAGCTGGAAGATGGAACAGAGGAGGGAGCAGTTGCTGCCGAGGACTTCTTTACAGGGTTAAAGAAAGGATAGGTGCAGCGAGTGGGAGCAGAGGACTGGTATGTGGTAGTTAGCAGAGTATACTGGGCCGTCACTGGGGGTGCTGTCGGGGATGTAGGAAAGAGTGCCTTGAGCGGAGGAATGACGTTGTAAGCTGACTGAGGCTGGGTGCAACAAGTCTGACCATGTCTGCAGTATGGGTTGAAAAAAGCTGAGCTTACACAAAGCCTGTCTGGTCAAAGACTGCACTGCGTTTATAACAATTCCTTAATACCTGTGGTGAACATGCAGCATAATGCTCCAAGAAGCAATCCACATCATCCTCTAATAACCATACCAGGGACTCTACCCGGTCTGCACTAAATGGTGGCAAAAAAGTCATTCCTGCTTTCAGGGGTACCAGATGAAGCCAACTCTACACAAACCTGAATCAAAGGTTGCACTTCAGAGAACTCTGTGCCCTGATCTACTAGAACATGAGCGATCCGTATACATTCTAGCAGTTGATCCCGGGAATACTCCCTCAGAGTCTGATAAGCATATTCTCTGTCATCAAAAACCAGCAGAGACAAATACACAACCTCATCAAGATCCATCCTTCCCAGCAACAAGCCAAGATGGCTTCCCTGTGCAGCCACTTCTGGTCAGGATTGGCCTTGGTGTAATGTCAGGGCTCCGGGTATGACCAAAGGTGTGTGGACTGACACAGGGAAACGCGGGTTTCAGATATGGTATAAATAAGGCGATTTATTAAGACTAACAATACAAACATAAACGCAGTGCACCACCACACCCAAGCTAACACAAATACATACAACAAACCCCAAGCGGAGAGAATGGTCAGGGTCACAAGCCAGGGATCAAACAGGAGAAGTCAGCAGAGGTCAGGATCAGGCAGGGTCAGCAACACGTCAGGCAGGAGCAGGAACAGGAATGCAGGTAACAAGATACAGGGGCCCATGGAAAAACACACACCATGGCACAGACTGCAGGTCTGGCCATCCCTTAAATACACCTGCAATCAGCTTTCATGTGTTTGGCTGACTGCAGGGTTGAGTCTCTGATTGCTGAGAGCACCCGCTGGCCGGCCCTGGTACTGCAGCCCACAAGTCCATTCCTGACAGTGCGCATTCTGAAGCCATTTTCCTAATGCCTTAACCTGCATCAACACTGTGATCACCAGGGGAAGTGAAAAACAAATGTTCAATAAGTATATTCAAAGCGGTAATCTGATAAATATAAATGTAATTACCTCCCAGCCCGTTACTCTCAACGATATTGGGATTATCTTATAAAAAATTTTGATAATGCGCCTGCACATGCGCAATATCTCAAGTTAATATATACAAAATCTGTTTATTCCAATAATAAATTATATGAATAGACATCCAGTCAGTATCAAATATCTTTAGTACTCCAACGTGTATGGTGGTATTCAGTGTTGAATAGGTAAGTATCATACATCATGCTAAAAATATTAGTGTATATATAAATAAATATATAAAACGCATATAAATTTATGGTCAGTAAAACAAAATAAATAAAATAATAACACATAAGATAAAATATAGAAATTCAAATATATAAAACAAGTATATGTCACTGTCACCACTAAAAGGGTGTTTGGCGCTAGTATGTATATATAAATAAATAAATGATAGTCTACCTATACTATTATCACAAAAATTTGTATAAAAAGTATGTAAACCCACAACCTTATACAATGTACAAAGTTAAATATAAAAATTATGTAATAAAATAAATGGATCACATATTTTTTAAAATATAATAGAATAGCTATACAATCAAAACAATACAGCATATTCTAAAATACCTAAAAAAAACTGTTAAAATTGCGATGACAATAAAACTGAGGAGGATGAGGTCATGATATTAAAAATGGAATGTATGTTAGCAGTTATCTATAAAACAATTAATGTCGAACTCGACGTTGAGTCCTTTGGGGTGTAAAGTGTCTAAATCGAATTTCCATTTCGATTCGAGTTGAGAGACTGTTCATTCCTCTCCAGTGTGTTTTTATAATATCTATACCTATAAAAGTTAGTGAGGAGGGATCTTTATTGTGGCATAAGCGATAGTGCTTAGAAAGGGAGTGATCTTTATAGCCTTTTTTGATATTACTCACATGCTCCCTAAGGCGGTCTCTCAATCTCCTAGTAGTTCGACCAATATATTGTTTTTGGCTCAGGCATTGTAACAAATATACTACGTGCCCCTGCTATTGCAGGAAATTAATTTATTAATCGTGTATGTCCTTCCCGTGACAGCGGAGGTAAAGTTGTCAACTTTCTTTTTCCTCTTATTATTACAGTGGCAAATTATACATTTGTTGCAGGGGAAAAAGACCTTCATTTCTGCAAAAAAACTAGTGTTTACTGGGGGGTTTAGAATATTCGGAACTATCCTATTCCGTAAGGGCATGGCCCTCCTGAACGTGATTTCAGGTTTATCGGGTAAAAAGCCGGCTAAAGTGGGGTCGGTTTTCAGGATCTTCCAATTGTTATTACTGATTTTCGTAATTGTTTTATATTGGATAGAAAAGTTGGTAATAAAAGGGCACTGTTTTGGGTCCCTTTTTTTCTATTATTTTAATATTTCTTCCCTATTCATATTAGCAACCGTTGTTAAAGTGCAATTCAGCATAGACCCATCGTAGCCTTTTTCCAAAAATCTTTCTTTCAAGATCTCTGCTTGAGAGTAATAAGTATCAATATTGGTACAATTTCTTCTGGTCCTGAGAAACTGACCTTTTGGTATATTGGTTAACCAGGCTGGATGATGTCAGCTGTCAAGAGGAATATAGCTATTTCTGTCTGTTTTGTTTAAAAAATGATTCTGTTACAATCTTACCCCCTTGATTAAGTTAAATCTAAAAAATGGATGCTATGCACACTATATTCAAACGTCAACTTAATGTTCAGTGTGTTGTTATTTAAAGTGCTAAACAAATTTATTAATGCTTGCTCCTCGCCATTCCAAATTAAAAATATGTTGTCTATATAACGCCTATAGAAGGAGAGTTCTGGCCATAACCTGGCGTATATCACATCCTCCTCCCACCTGGCCATAAAAAGGTTGGCCAGGCTGGGAGCAAATTTCGCTCCCATTGCAGAAAAAATTTCGCTCCCTTTGTTTGCAGAAAAAATGGTTATTAAACCAAAAATAGTTTTTAGTCATCGCAAAATTTAAAAGTTAAAGTATAAAATCTTTATGTAAAAAGGACATTTCACTAAAATCATTCAGGTAAAATTGCACTGCCTCCATACTATCTGAGTGTTTGATATTTGTATAAAGCGAGGTAACATCTGCAGTGACCAAATATGTCGTTGGGTCTATCTCTATACTTCTAATATCCTGCAGAATTTGTTTGGTATCACGTAAGTATACCAAAGTTTTGGTCACTTGTGGCTGCAGGAAATGATCTATATATTCACCTGCCTTTAAGCATAATGAACCGATACCACTAATATTGGTCTGCCTGGGGGGTTAGTCGAGTTTTTATGTATTTTTGGCAATATATACAACACTGGCAATCTGGGGGCAGTGGGACATAGGAAGTCTCTTTCCTTCTTATTTAAAATCCTATTGTCATAGCCTTTCTGAATGATCGTCTTAAGCGCTTTTTTTTAAAAGTTCCCAATGGATTTTTATTCAGTGGGAGATATGTGTCCCTATCACTTAAAATATTTGTTACCTCTCTGACATAATCCACTTTAGATAAAAATTACCCCCCCTCCTCCCTTGTCAGCTGGTCGGATTGCCAGATTTTTCCTTTCCAGAAGAGAATTCATGGCTTTCTTACAGGCGTCTTGATCTCTGACTTGTTTAAGTTTAATATCATTGAGATCCTTCAATACTGAATCTCTAAAAGCATTGATATAGGTTTGTGATTGTGAGGGGGGGGGTTAAATAAAGATGCGTTTCTCAGATTAGAGTTAATGGTTCCACTGTGCGGCATTGTGTCTAATGGGGTTGTTAAGAAAATATTTCTTGAGTGATACTTGTCTCACAAAACGACGCACATCAATATATGTTTGAAATTTGAGTGCTGTCTTGGGGGCAAATTTGAGTCCCTTGTGTAATAAATTGAGCTCCTCTGCTGACAATTCCACTTTGCTCAAATTATAGATAGATGCCGGTACCTTTTATAGTTTTCTTTTTCTTCGGGTTTGTTAACCCTCTTGCCTCCCCTCTTTCCTCTATTAAGGCGCTTCTTTTGCGTGTGCGGCATCCCCCTAAAAAATGGGTAGGTGTGTGTTCTCCATTCTGTTGTGTGTTATGGTAGTAATCCAAGTTATACAATGTGGGACCAAAATTATTGGTTCTAAACTGCTGGATAGGTGGTCCAGATGCTCTCTCCCTCCATTGTTGGTTATGGGTTGTGCCTCTAGTAGTTCTTGACGATGCATAGTGTGTATTTGGCCCAAAATTGTTGTGTTATGGTAGTTATTGGGTCTTGTTCTAACATAATCATGTTGATTATTTTTGTTGAGCTGGTTAGGATACCAATCACAATTCCGTGAACCAATATTTCTGTCAGTCATAGGGTATAATGAGTCATATCTATTATTGACTGGTATATTATAGTGTCTATCACTATTGTTTTCGTTGTTTTTATTGTTTTCATAGGAGATCTGTATTGGCTCTGTGTCCTTAAGCGCCTACGTGGTCGATCATTGGTCTCCGGGGAAGTCTTTGA